TCATTACTTTGTCAAATTGAAAAAAACGTAGAGTTTGTAAATCTTGACAAAAAAGTTAGTGATAACTTCAACAATACTAAATACTGTGAAGATTGCAACACATATCAGTGTGTTGCAAAAAATTATAGTTTATTTAAAAAACAAAATTATCTTTGCTTTAATGCTATAAACTGTTCCAAAGAAAATTTCTCAAAAAAATATTTAAAAATATATCTTAAAATAAGCATAAAAATGTATATCCAAATTAATGGAAGATAGGGTATATAAATCTATATATCAGAATAACAGAAGGTTATTGACTGACAAAAACCTGTTACATGTTTCATCCATATGAACTTCAGTGTTCTCGATGTAAAAATGTAACCAATATTTATTGTATTTCTCCCGAAAACTTACATGTAAAACTTTATCAATAGAAACCTTCTTCTTCATTTTGTGCCATCTCCCTACAGGAGTAGACTGTTCTATAGACATCCCTAGAATGTATCCCTAGACATGAGCAGTGGAAGAAAATCAGTCTACCCATGTAGATTAAATAAAGGGTTCAGTTCAGAATTTCCTGTAGGTTACCCTAGAAAGGCACAACAACTAAAACAAGATGAAGGCAATAGTCCAAATATAGATACTGTAAACAGTTTTAAGGGAAAACAGTCAATTGTTTTGTGTGTTATTTAAATCCAGACATACTTTTGGATTAAACTGATGAACCTTGTTTTAAGTTATTTTATGTGGAGAAATATATTTATAAAAATATTTACTAGAATGAATTGGATAGTTTTATTGTAATCTAAAAAAAAAAAAGAAAATTCAAAATGCATACATAAATCTTTAAAAATATATAGCAACCAACAGGAAATTATTTTTTTTTCATTGATGCAGCCTCCAGTATTTCTTAACCTTCCAAACATGTCCATAAAATTTAAAATATGTCTGATAAATAATTGGCTATCTATTAAATAAAATGAGATAGGACTCTCTGCAAAAGAGATCACTTGGTAGGTAGTGGCAAGAATTTTTGTCATTGCCTGAAGCAGACCTTTATTCATTCAATCATTTGTTAGATGTCAGCCTACTTTCATAGTTGAAAATTTTTCAAGATCTTAGAGTAAAACCTAACATGATTGATGACAACTTTTATAAAATATACTGGTTATTTCATTGTCTTCTTCTTCTTCTGTATGCCATGTCACATGGGCAATCATGGTTCTCCACACATCCATCTAGCAACATTTTTCCTTGCCATTCCTTGCTTTGTCCCACTATGCCTTCAATATGTCCAATGAGTTCCAAATTCTGCAAGCCCTCCTTCCTCCTTACATGTTCCAGAAATTTCAGCTCTTTCTAATTTTAAGTACATGTATCTTTTTGTTTCCATTTTCTTTAAAACATCATTCTTTCTTACATACTCTATCCATGGTATTCTCAGAATTCTTCTGTAGAACCATATTTTTGTTGCCTCAAGTCTCTTCTTCATTTGTGAGGAAATTGTCTAGCATTCATTGCCATATTAGAGGATTGATATTATGTAGCAGTTCAACACTTTTTTTTGTTTTTAATGAAATTTTCCTGTTTCTTAATGCTTTGCTTAGCTTTTGGAATGCATATTTTGCTAATCCAAAAGGTAAACTGAGTAAAAGTAAATTTATGTTTAATGTTTTTAGATGATTTTCTAATAGATTAACACATTTATTAATAGAAATTTTAGCATATCAAGAATTAATATTTAAACTAGCCATAAACTTGTTTGTCATGTCTGTATATTTGCTTTATCACATTTGAATTATAACAAAAATTCTAACCCCTTTATTTGGTATTATCATTTCTGCACATGTAAAGAATTCTGGTAACTTACAAAATAAAGTCATTTAAAGAATTTTCTCTTTCTGCAACAGAAAATAAAATATTTATTCACTATTAATAAACAATGGCACAAATATCAATCAAGCAAAACACTGTAAACTATAACTGATATAAATGTATTTTATCTAATAAGATGAAGAAAGAAATTATTCTAGATTATCCCATAAAATTATATAATCACATCACTGAAATTCTTATTCTCAAATATAAATAAAACATACATTTTGCTTTAAAAATATAATTCTGTTTATTAGTTAGTGAACATATATTTTACACCCTACCTATACAATATAAATAATGGACTATTCCATTTTGATTGTGAGGAAAGACAGAAAAAACATATCAGTAATATTGTTTGTTTTTAATGAGAAATAAAGTGAATATAGAGGAGGTAATAATTCACTCATGTATTTAACATTTGCTTCAATGAAATGAAAAACCTTGTTTATTTTTTATCTTTTCATTTGTATCATCTTGTTTTTTTAAATAATGACCTGCATTCAAATTTATGATTGTTATTGAAATATTTTATTAAAGTTGTTAAGCTCTAATATTTAACACTGCAATAGAGCAATTTCCACAGTTATTTTATTGTTTTTGAACTAGCAAAACAGTTATTCAGCCATGAACTGGAGAATTAAGATTAATCAGAAAATACAAATCGGAAAATTTTTAGAAATTTTCACAGGTATTTCTAGGTCTTTTTAGTATACTTTCTAAAGGAATTTTGTATAGTAAAAATCTAAAGTCATATTTCTACTATTTCTATGGCACTAAAATTGTAACATTGAAATCATACAGAAAATGTTGGCATCAAATCAGTCAAAGTTATTTGACAAAGAATAGTCATTTTAAAGAAAAAAAAGTTTGGTGAAAAATCAAACTAGAAATTTCCATTTTGCTTACACTTAAGTACATTAAAAATTCCAATCTTGCACTAAGTGTTATAATGAACTTGTTTCCACACAGACATTGCAAAAGAGGAGACATTTATTCTTTATGCTTTCAAATTTAATACATTTTTACTCAACAATGGGAATTTCACCACACACAGCTTTCAGTATACATTAACTGCAATCAACTTGACAGGAATTATGTTAAGTTTTTTCTGTTTTATTTCAACAAACAGAGAAATAACTTTGCAAGACAGCCCACCATTTTTGGCTTCTCTGTATTTAATAGTACTTTCACATCACTAATCTGTCTTGTCACTTTATTAAAGAAACTGTCCATCTTGAGAAAGCTAGAAATATTTCCTTTGAAAGCCTGCATTCCATCCTGTAAAACTGAAAATGGATATTTTCCATGCCATTTTATTGGAAAAAGTTTTGATGGTGCTAAACATTACATTATTCGGAAGAAATAAAGAAATGTGTTGCCCCAAAAGAGATAGAGATAAAGATTCATACGAGCCAAACATAGAAGCTCTAACTTTTAAACTGAACAATATTTGATTTATTTGATTGAAGAACTTTTATAAAACTGATGTCAATGCTTAGTTCTTATGAACTTGATAAAATATTCATTTAAGGAATAGACTTCTCTCCAAATATGTGAAGGTAGTGAATTATTCTTCTTTGAGATATTGAGGGAATCCATGATAGCATGTAAAACTGGATAAGGAATTTTTTTATTTTCTATATACCATGTCCATTCGGTACCATGGCAATCATGACCATCTGCAATTTCCTGTCTTTTGTCGCTCTTAGTAAAGTTTCTCTTTTTGCTACCCCTTCTAATCCCTGTTCTCTTAACCATTACACAAGCTAATTATATAGGTTACACACAGGTTTTCTCTGACCCTCTTGCCTTCAATCTGCTCTGTAACAAATTTTCCAAGCCTACTTTCCTCATTATGTGCCCTAGAAATTTCAACTGTTTCTTCCTGATGTTAAGTATAAGTTTCTTTTTTGTCTTCATTTTCTCTAAAATCTTATCATTAGTCACATGTTCAGTCTATGGTCTTCTCAGCATCCTTCAGAAGAATTACATTTCAGTTACCTCAGATCTCTTCTCCATCTGTGAGGAGATTGTCAAGTATTCACTGCCATAAAGTCTGATATTACATAACCGTTCAGTAATTTTTTTCTTTGCTTCTAATGAAATTTCCCTGCTTTTTAATACTTTGCTTAGGTTTTGGAAGGTATCTTTCAATATCTCAATCCAACATTAGATTATGGTGTTACAATTTTCAGCCTCTCTTAAAGCACTCGTTTAATTTTGGTATCTCCAATTTGTAATTTGTATATTGCTGAATGATTATAACTGCTACTATCATATTCATAAGTAAAATTATGCAATATAGACAGAAACTGATATTAAAATTATTGCTACAAAATTTTGTTAGTCTTACTCTTTATATTGAAAGTGTTAGTATGCAGACACGCACTCACAAATTAAAAAATATTTTAGTTTTAGATAAGTAGTGCTTAATAAAAGCAACAAAACTAAATAAATTTTGTCTTTGTTTTTATTTTTTTATTCAAAACCTTCTTGAGGTAAATTACCCACAAATGTTGACTTTTATATTACTAAGTTTTTAAACGTATAGAAAACAATATTTAAAACAAATAGAATTTAATATTGAAAAAAATAAATTAAGAAAGTAGAAAGGAATAAACAATAAAAAGATAGTGTAAAGCTCATAATATAAATAGTAAAAATGTTATATCTAAAACTTTTTAAAAAACCAATATCATTAAAGACATATAATATTATGATAGACAAAATAGAGTAGACAAAGTGAAAATAAGCATGATGTCTCATATGTTAATAAGATCTTTTATAAAAAGAGACAATTTAAGACAGACCATATCTTATTAATGTATTTCTTGCCAAGTTCATGCTGTGCGATCTATTGTGAATGTCTGTTTACATTCATATAAAAATAAGTTTAAGTCTTCCCAGTAATAACGGTGTTGTTAACACTATTGCTCACTTTGATAACTTTCTGAGCTCTTTCATCTTCCATAAAAGGTTTTCTTCAACTCTGAATCAGGATGATGTATACTTAGCATTTTCTTTTTCCTTTTGCCAAATGGGAAAGAATCACCATTGAAGAAATCTTGGCTGTCACAGCAGCTTCTCTTTTTAAAAGAGCCTTTTCTTAATTCTGTTTCCTGTGGTTACCCTCTTGCAATATGAGACCGGACAGTTGGCCTCCTCCATGGTCATTTATTCTTGACTTAAGGCTCATATTACAAGGGTTTTGTTTTTTAGTATTCATATATATATATATATATATATATATATATATATAATTAAAACACACACAAAACACAAGCAGCTCCCAAAGGAGCAGACTTAAAAAGACATGCTGGAAAGAAAATAGTCTAATGCTGCAACAGCAGAGTATATTATATAGTCGTTGTCAGTTAGATCTGCCCCAGGAAATTATATATATATTATATATTTCTTTCTGAAATATCTTCCTTTTATATATTTTTCCCTTTCATTCATCATGTTTTTCTTTGTTGGTTCATATAACTTGACCTTGATTGATTTATGCATTTCTTTGTTTAAGTTCTCAATTTCTGCTGATATATTAAGCCTATTGATTGTTAGGATACTTACAGCATTGGGAAACCTTTGAGTAAGAAAGTTTGTTTTTTTTTTGCTATAACATAGCTATTATAGTTTATCTTTCTACTTGGTCCAAGAAGTTAAACAAGGACCTTGGCCATCAATTCATTTCAGAATATCAATAAGGAAAATTGAAGGTAATAATTGATTATCAATCACAAAAATCTGTATGATTCCATTAAGATTTGTATAATAATATATTATATAATATATATATATTTCTTTCTTTAATCAATTCACCCCAAGCAAGATGATAATGCCACTAAGATGCAAGAAAATAAAAAGAATTTAGAAGGAACTGGAAACCAATCCTAAGAAGGGAACAATGGATAAAATTTACCCCTGTTCAAAAGACTGTGATATTTGTGAACTGGATGATAGGTGAACCTATATACTCCTATATTATTGTATAATGAATATTTATTATGAGTGCATCATGTATTTGAAAACACATCTTTAATGAGCCATGAATGGAAGATGATTTAAATTAATGTTATATGTGACATGTACCAAATTTTATCATTTTCCTTTCTCCTTTAGATATATCGAGAACATTAAGATAGCAGCATCCAATCTAAGACAGGAAATGAAAAGGAATGCCATGTTCATAGAACTAGCAGCCAACCACAGCAACTCAGATAGCCAGCTTCTTAAGGAGTAATGACAGGTGGCTTTACACAGACCCCCACAGAGTTATCCACAGTGGTTCACATCTATAATGGTCCTAGGGGTCATGCCATCCCACTTATTCCTGCACATTCTCAGAGGCAGTGTCATCCTTTACATCAGCATACTGAATATAATGAATTGTTGGAGATGGCCATACATGTTTCAGCAGTGCTCTGCTTTGCTCTCTCCTTCATAGCACACATGACTCAGGAGTGGTTGATATCCACAGTATGTGTCCTCCTTGTTCACCTGATTTGAATGCTTTGTACTGCTATTATAAAGAGCAAAGCCAACCAAGATCTTTATAATACCAAGGTTAGCATGGAATTAATGTCCAACAGGACTGATACCTACTTGATCCAAGCATGGGGTCACTTCTATGATTTCCTCAAGGGTGTCCTTGAGACTGAGGGTGGTTGTATTGAATAAGCTTTTTTCTGTTTTTGAACAGAAGTTGAGGTTTATCGCTTATCCCCTGTTTAGGAATAGATTTCCAGTTCCTTGTGAAGATTTTTCCTTCTCTTTCACACCCAGTAACCCCTTGAATTTTAGTGACATTGTCATGCTTGTGGTGAATTTTGATTTTTGTTCACCTCTGCTGTGGCCAGGTATTGAAATCACAACTCTTATAGACAGATGATGAATTTCTTCACTGACCATTTCTCAGGTTTTAAACTGCAAGTATGATTTATTCTTAAAAGTTAATTGGTATATCTGTTTTATTAAATAACTGATTATCTGTGAATTCTCAATCATGGAATTGATCATTTCTATTTAGGCATTACCTAACAAACTAATTTGCCCATTCTCTATGGATGACAGAAATTTTCATCTTTGTAATTCTCTGATACAACTGTAAATAATGTAAATTTCAGCAGTTGTAGCTAATGGATTAAAATGCAGAAGGCAAAAGTAATTTTGAACAACACACTTGTGAAGTCATTAATATTTAATAAACAAGAAAGTGTGATTTATTCTGTTAATAATTTAAAGTTTATCTGTATCATCCTCTAAACGATTCAACTGTCTTTTGTATCTTATAAGAGAAATAGGAAAAAATCAAACACAAATTAAAATAAGCTACAAATCAACAGAATAAAAAAAATAAAAGTAATTGCATTTATTTCAGAGTTTCTTTCCCCAAAATAAATTAATAATGCAACATTTCAGAGTTACCCTCTTGATGATTGCACTGTTCTTAGAATTCTCATTTGTTCTAAAAGAATGAATTATCTTTTAATATGAATTCATTACTTAATTATTACTTATGAGTGGATGCATAGCTGAGTCATAAGAATATTAAAATCCTTATCATGAGACTGGGTTCAAATTACACAATAGTCAGTTTTTCAAGAGGGTGATTTCTTGATAATATTAGCCTAGGGGGATGGTCCAAGCATTCAGCACCATTGAAAAGTGCCTGGAAAAAAAAGTCATGGGTTGACCCAGCCCATGTGAGTGAAATTGGGTTAATACAATTTTTCAGAAGTTGCTCGTAAATAAAGCAAGCAAAAGCAACAAGTGAATGTCACAAAAAGTTTGAGTGTACTGATCCTTGTTCAAACTATTGATCACACCAGATTATGTGCTCTCTCCCAGAAACTTTAAGTAAGGTCCACTGATCATACTGGCAGTATGAACCACTGGTTGGCTCAGTTAATGTTGAAGAAACATAAAACAGGGATTAGATAACCAACATAGAAAATAGGTAGATACAAGTGACCAACCATACTAGTTATGTTTTGATCCATTTTGGTAGGTCATTTTATGTTGTGATGAATATTGAATAGCTAGGCATGTGAGAATCCAGTTCTGTCGAAGGAAATTTTGCCAGTTCTTTGAGAAGTGTTGACAACAAGCAGAAATTATGCAAAAGGTTGTTTTCTTGAACCTATTATAGTAATGGATTGCAGATTGGATTGAGGAATCAGAGAGCTGATTTCGTGTTGAGTTCATTACATTCACTTACATGCTAATACCCTTTGATTTGAGTCCATCTTTTCTCCCCCCAACTATAGATAAATAGTAAGACAGACAGGGTTTTATAGCTTTGGGTAGCAACTGGTCTAGGAGAAGGAAAACTCTGAATTCAGCACCTGTATGTAGCCCTTGGAAAATGTATACTATGCAGCTAAGGAAAGGATCATTTGCATTGACTCGATGATTCTAACTATGGTTGATTCTTCTCTGTGACATACCCCTTTATGACATGAGTGAACATAGCTCTTCACAACTTCCTATCCTTCCAAGCTCTTAGTAATGTTTGTCTTTTTACTATCTCTTCTAATTCCTGTTCTGCCATCTATTTACACAAGCCAGTTAGGTAGGTTACTTGCGACTTTTCTCTGTCCTGTGAGTGTGAAATTCTCAAAGCCCTCTTTCCTCATTATGTATCAATTAGAATAAGACTTATAAAAACAGTGCTGCCATTGATGGAAATACTATGTCTGCGGTATATCATTATAAGACTGCAGAAAGCAAGTTCTATTGCCTCATCTTCAGTGAAATTCATTAGCCATTGCCAAACTTCAGAAAATAAATGTCCTGCTTTAAATCTTGTAAAGTGAGGTGTTAAGTATCATATTCTAATGACTATTTTAATATCAGGATTTTAAAATATTTTATTTTAATGTTGGTTTGGATTTATATGAAAACAAGGTCATAGAAATAAGTCTTGGCCAGTACTCAGCAAAAGTGATCCAGTGAACCATTCTGTAGAAATGTAAAGAATTGCTTTGCCATTTGGAGTTGGCGATGCGTTCTTCTCATTTCATTTCTATCAGCAGTAATCATTTGTCTTATTCTTTCAATAAAGGTATATCTGATACAGGTTGACAGAGTTTCCATTTCAAATTCCTTCAAGTAATAGGAGGAGGCTTTATTGTTATGCAAAGCTCTTTGCTTGTTATTTCTTTCTCTGAGCCAAGAATGCACACTGTGATCACTTCTTCTTTCTCATTGGTTCCATGCCAAAACAGAAAGATAAAATTAAAAAAAAGGATAGACTTGCATTGAACAACTTTTAACATAGCTAATGCATCTGTATTTCAGCTGAAGTTGATTTTAAAGATCTGGAAGGCAATCTCAGGAATGAAGATAATAAAATGTAGAAAATTTACCAAAAAGGAAAAATCATTTTCTTAAAAAGCATGTTTTTTTTTAATGGATATATAAGATGATAAATAATTTTTCAAGGTCAGTTCATGGTGAAGATTTTAAGCTCTGTAAAGAAATAGTGAGCCAACATTACAACTTGCCCTTTTTTTCTGCATCTAAAAGAAATTAATAATATTTATATCATTTACATTGAGACTAATGTTCTCATCTTTGTTGTTATATCACAGCATTTTGGCCATTGTGACCTACAAATTTTCAAGTTTTGTCATGCTATTTCAAACTGAACCATTTATTTAACCTACAGTGGAAGATCTTTCTCATTCCACTGTTGGAACTATCTACCTTGTAGAGTAAATAAGGGTTTCAGTTTGAAGGTTAACTGTATCAACAGATATCTGAAGGTGGCCAGAGGACATAGTGGTCAAAACATTGTGGTAATAACAACAAACAAGAGAATATTAAAAATAAGTTAGTCCAAAAGTAAACATGGCAAGAAATGACAACACTTCATTCCTGAAATTCACAGAAATTAATGGCAGCATCACAAAAAAGAAATTATTATTAAGTAAAAATTTGTTTTCTTCTTCTATGTGGTATATCCCTTCAGGAGGTGGACAGTTATTACTTCTCACAACTTTATGTTTATCTTTCTACTACCCCTCCTCCTCGTATCAATTATTTACACAAGATTGGTTTATGACAGTTTTCCTCTTGCTTTCAGTATAACCTGTGAATGTCAAATTTTCCAAGCCTTCTTTCTTCATTAAGTGTAGTATAATTTTCAACTAATTTTTCCCAATTCTAATTACCTTTTTTTTTTCCTTAAAACTTCCTTGTCACATGCTCTATCCATAGTATTCAATGTATTCTTCATTAGAAAAACATGTCTGTTTGGTCAAGTCTTCCCTTCATCTTGGAGGAAAATGTCCAGCATTCACTGATGTATAGGAGGGTAGCTATTACATAGCAGTTCATTACCCCTTTTCTTTGTTTCTAATGAAATATTTCAGTTTCTTAATACTTTCTTTAGCTTTTGGAAAGCTTCTTTTGCTATTCCAAATCAACTTTGAATTTGCTAAATTTAAAATCAGTTTTCCTTTTAAAAGTCATTGGTTGAATTTTTATATTATCTTATTTCCTTTCAGGATAGAATCCCAGTTTGAAATGATGTTAATAAAGGCTTGTAAATTATATAAACAAGTGAATACAAAGATATTTTAAAATGCACACATTTCTTATCTTGTCTTCATATAGCCAAAAAAACAAAATCTTTGTAAGTAAAGAAATTCCAACATCTAATGCCAGTTAGTGTCCTGTTTAAGGAACAGAGGGATCACAATTTATTTATTTGAGTAAGTGATTACCTCACAATTTTGGACTGCTACTTCTTTCCTTGCTGGCACTTGAGTCTACTTTCATATTGATCAAACCTCATTTCTCGTTATGGAACTGTCTTCAAACATTACATTACATCCTCCAGCAACAGTAGTGACACATTAGGAAAGCACATCTGCTTAGATGCACAACAATTTCAATTGATATAAATCTGTTTTCCCCATTCACCCACCCATTTGTCCATCAGTTCATCTTCTTTCTTTTATCTCTAAACTCTCTTATTCTATTTGACATATTCAATATCAGTGGCTATATATATATATATATATATATATGAAATAAATATACCTTTGCAGTGCTTCACTTAACTCTGCATCTATTAATACTTTACTACACCCCAGCAATTTCTATTATTACTTGATCTTCTTTACACATAGTCCTTTACATCCTTTGGGTACCCTGCTTCATTTTCACTTTTTATATACTCTCTCTCTCTCTCTCTCTCAGTTAGAGCTTTTTCCTTTCTCTTTTATTTCTTTCTGTGTTATATCTGTTTATAATATCTTTATCTTTTCATTTTTTCTCCCTCTTTTTCACTGCAATATTGCTTATTTTGTATATAGTTTCTCTTTCCGTTCTTTAACATTATTCTGTGAAGCCTCTTTTCATAATATCTTTCCCTCTCTCTTTCTTTTCTCTTTTTTTCTTCAACTTGACTTCATTTTATATTCCCCCTCTATTTTTCTCTTTTTTCTTTCTTTTCCCTCTCTCTCCATATATGTATGTATATATATATATATATATCTTTTCTCTTTTTTTCTGGATACCCTTTCTTCATGGTACCTTTACTCTGTTTTTTACCCTCTCTTCATGAGAGTTTTTCCTCTCTCATTTCTTTTTTCACTTTGTTCTGTCTCTCTTCATGATAGGTTTCCCTCTCTTGTCTTTTCCCTTTTTGTGCAGCCTGTCTTTATTACATCTGTTCCTTCTTTCTTCCACTTTTTGTTAATATAGCCCCTCTTTCTCATAATGTTTTCATCTATCTTTGCTTTCTTTCCACCTTTCTTTGTATAACTTCCTTTATTATAGACTTTTCTTTTCCATTTTTTCTGTACAGCCTCTGTTACATCTATTCCTCATTACTGATTTTTTTACCATTCCCTCTGTTTTGTTCTCCGCTTTTTTTCTTATTAACCTCTTTTTATAATAACTTCCCCTCTGTTCTTTTATTCCCTATACAACCTCCTTTCATCATAGCTATTTTCTCGCTTTTCCCATTTTTTTTTCTGGGTAGCCTTGATTCCTTTCCCTCTTTCTTTTCCCTTCTAAGGCTGGCTTCATATTATCTTTTCCCTCTCACTTTTCCTTTCTTTTTCCACTGCAGCCTCTATTTGCTATAGATTTTTCTCTCCTTTCTCCCATGTAGCTGCTCTTTATTCTACCTTTCCCTTCATTTTTATTTCCCCCTTTTTCTTTTGTAACCTCTCTTCATTCTACCTTTCCCTCTCTTTTGTATTTCCTCCTTTTTCTTTTGTAACCTCTCTTCATTCTACCTTTCCCTCTCTTTTTTATTACCCCCTTTTTCTTTTGTAACCTCTCTTCATTCTACCTTTCCCTCTCTTTTTTATTACCCCCTTTTTCTTTTGTAACCTCTCTTCATTCTACCTTTCCCTCTCTTTTTTATTTCCCCCTTTTTCTTTTGTAACCTCTCTTTTTTTTTCTTTTTTCTACAGCCTCTCCTCATTATAGCTGTTTTCTCAATTTCTCCTTTTTTCTGGGTAGCCTATCTTCATGGTACCTTTACTCTCTCTTTTTTCCCATTTCTCTGTGTAGCCTCTCATTATAGTTTTTCTTCTCTTATTTCTTTCTTTTCACTTTGTTCAATCTCACTTCATGATAATTTTCCCTCTTTCTTTATTACGTCTGTTTTTTCTTTCCCCCCTTTTTGTTAATACAGCCTCTCTTTCTCATAAATGTTCTGCTTCTTTTTCTGGGTAACTTACATTCATGATACCTTTTCTTTTCTCTATTCTTTTCCTTTTTTTGATGTTGCTTCTTCATTATAGTTTTTCCTCTATTTTGTCTGTCTTTCTTTTCCATTTTCTTTGTAGCTGCTCTTCTATATAGCTGTTACTTCTCAGTTTTTCTTTTCACTGTGTAGCTTCTATTCCTTGTAGCTTTTTCTCTTTCTCTTCCCTTTTCAGACTCTCTTCCTTGTGGCTTTTTCTCTTTCTCTTCCCTTTTCAGACTCTCTTCCTTGTGGCTTTTTCTCTTTCTCTTCCCTTTTCAGACTCTCTTCCTTGTAGCTTTTTCTCTTCCCTTTTCAGACTCTCTTCCTTGTGGCTTTTTCATCTATATTTGCTTTCTTTCCACTTTTCTTTCTATAGCTTCCTTCATTATAGATTTTTACTTCTCTTTTTTTTTGTTTCTGTCTTTTCCATTTCCAACCTTACTTCAGTGCGGCTTTCTTTATTTTTTCCTCTCATTCTGTATCCTCATTCGATGCAATTTTCTATTGTCTCTCTGTCTATAATGATCAATCTCAGCAAGTTCTAGTAAGAAAAATGGGAACGCCAGATGTACAAAGTCTAAGATGGCAATAATATTGGCAGTAGAGAGCTATCTAGTACAAGTGTAATCTGATCTTTCATGACATCTGAGGTATTTCAGAACAGCCTACTTGAGTTCAAGAGATGCAACCATCTGCAGCAATTTAGGAAACACTTTTGACCTAACTCCCTACAGTATGTCAGAATGAATGAGCCATGGTGATTGATACAGGATTCTAAAGAAGCACTTCTTTTCTCATCAGATATAATACTGGCTGGCCATTTCAGCAGTGGCCATTTCCAATGATATCTATCAATCAGAGCTTTTCCGCCCCCATCGTATTTGCTAGTTTAAAATGCTTGCATATCTATATTACCTATCTGCACTCTTGCATTGTAACATACCTTCTTACAAACATTTTATCACATAATCATCAAAAAAGTTTTATGAACACACATGTAAAAATAATCCTCAAAACAGATGCACTCATTAGTTAGATTACTCACTGTTTCCTTCTGCCTCTTTTGTCTTCACTGTACCCTATGGGTATCAAATTCTCCAAGCCTTCTCTCTTCATTAGGTGTCCTAGAATTTTCAACAATCTCTTTCTGCATCTGTCTATATTTCTGAGATGAGTTATTTTAACTAATTACACTAACATCATTCAGACTGTTGTCCTCATCTTTATTGTCATATCCACAACATTTCAGCCATTGTACACTCCAGCCTTCTTCAGGTGATATACATTGGAATTTCATGCCAAACCTTTTATTTAGTTCATGGGGACACATGTTCCAGTGGATAAAAGCATTGGTTAAATTAATCCAAAAAGTGACTTGAAACAAAGAGTTGTTTAGTTCAATAATTGGCCACAGTAGAGGTGACCAAGAACTTGGAGTAGAGTTACTAAAATGGAATTAACTGAAACTGAGAAATCCAAAAAAGACATGGCACATAGAATTAGAACAATCTAAGCCCAAAAACTAAATAAAGGGTTCAGACTGTAGTTCCATCATAATGACATGAATGAGGCTGGAGTGTCCAGTTGCCCAAATATGAAGAATATGGCAATAAGAATGAGTTCAACAGTCCAAACGATGTAAATAACTCTTTCAGATGATACTTATCCATTTTGATTTTTCCTTAAAACTTCCTTGTCACATGCTTTGTGCATAGTATTCAATGTATTCTTCTTTGGAACAACATGTCTATTTGGTCAAGTCTCCCCTTCATCTTGGTGGAAAGTGCCCAACATTCACTGATTACATTGCGGTTAATAACATTTTTCCTTGTTTCTAATGAATTATTCCAGTTTCTTAATACTTTCTTTATCTTCTAGAAAGCTTCTTTTGCTATTCCTATGCAACTTTGGATTTGCTAAATTTAAAATCAGTTTTCCTTTCAGAAGTTGTTAGTTGAATTTCTATTTATCTTATTTCCTCTCAGGGTAGAGTCCCAGTTTGAAATACTGTTAATAAAGGCTTGTAAATTATATAAACAAAAAAGTTATTTTGAAATGTACATATTCTTTATCTACATAAGTTTTCATATAGTCAAAAAAAAAAAAAAACACAGAAAGAAATTCCAACATCTGATGCCAGTTAGTCTCCTGTTTCAGCTGCAGAATAATCAGAATTTATCTATTTGAATAAGTGATTACCTCACAATTTTGGACTGCTACTTCTTTTCTTGCTGGTACTTGAGTCTACTTTGATATCAATCAAACCTCAATTCCCATTATGTAACTTATTTCTTTTAATTGAGTTTCCCCTAAGTAAAGCAGTAAAGCCACAAAGACACATTGGGTTACTTGGTGTGGAAGAATTAGAAAGCAGAAACATTACTAAGGAGTGAGAACAAAAGAATAATAATAAAGATAGCAATTGACATTGCATTCAAATTTCTGAAGATTAAAATTGGCTTCAAAATTACATTACATACTCCAGCAACAGTAGTGACACATTAGGCTAGCACATTTGCTTAGATATACAATAATTATGTTTAGCTTTTGGAAAGCAACTTCGAATTTGCTAAATTTAAAATCGGATTGTCTTTCAAAATCTTTAATTATAGCTCCCCATTTCACTTCCTTCCTATCTTCTGTCTGTCATGCCTATCATGTGTTGGAAATGATTTTAATAAATTTCAAAAACACACATCCTTAACACACTTACAAACACACCATTCAAAGGCACAAATGCCAATATAACATTGCTGACCAGCTGCATTGTGTATTTTTACCACAGATAGAGCTTAACTGTATAATCTATTCTTTCTCCCTCAGATACAGTTGAACACTCACAGGAAGGACTGTCCTGATTTGTCATTCTTTGGCTTTCACGTCTAAACCACATAACCTCTAATTCCAATGCAGCCAACCATAATTGATGATTATTGGTTTTAACTGATAAAGGGTTTATCAACTGTTGTTTCAGGCTCACCATCCACCTTGGGCCAAAGCAACATTTCTATAACTTTAATTCTCATGCTTAACGATTGTGGCAAGTCATTACTTAAGCCCTAAACGTTGGCATCGACCAATTGAAAACTGCCTACTCTTGGACACTTTCGCTTTCTATTGGCCAATAATTACGATTGGTTGATTATTGGTCTGGTATGCCAAGTAATGTTCTGTGGATAAGCCTTCTGTCATTCCCTGCAGTCTCACCCACATCTTGCCACCATCTATTTCCATACATTCAATAATGAATCAGCATACACTGACTTCAGCTTTTGAGATTATGGTTTACTTATGTTGCGGGTGGAAGTGTCCCAGTTTTGAATGACGGTATATTTAAGAGATTTCCAATTTTGTTTATTTCTTAGTTACTTAAAGGAATGTCTGCATTAGTACATTGCTGCTTCTTTTATGTGTCATGTCCTTTGAGGACAGGGACGGTCATGTCTCTCCACAACTTCCAGTTTTTTGTTGTTTTATATCTCTTTGTTATTATTCTACCTTTTATTTATTCAAACTCAAAAAGTACATTACTGTTTTCTCTTGCTTTTCTTGACTCCCTGTGAGTGTCAAATTCCCCGAATTCTCTTTCCTTACTATGTGCCTCCAAAATTTCAGCTGTATCTTTCTGTTTATTAACAGCAGTTTCCTTCTAATTCCTCTCTCCCTTAAAACTTCCTTGTTACTCAAATGTTCTATCCATGGTATTCTTAGCATTCTTTAGTAGAACCACATCTCTCATTTCAAGTCACTTCTTTATCTGTGGGGAGATTGTACATATTGTAATATGTAGCAGTTCATTTCTCTGTTCTTTGTTTCTAATAAAAGTGTTCTATCTCTTGAGACATTGTTTAGTTTTAAAATCATTCCTATTCAAATTTGAACAAGAGAATAAAGATGCACCTGAATTTTGTTTATATTATGATTTTTTTTGTTTCTTTAGATATCTTGAGATTCTTGACAAAATCCAAAGGAGGATTGGAAATGTAATTGATCCAGACCAGGCATCTTGACATCAGTTGCTTTCTCACCAATGTGATGTGGGCTTCCCTCTTTCTTTTCTATAAATATGTTTAGGCAACTGCTTTGATAAGCATTTTTCCATAGTTCCTTGACCATATGAATTTAAGCATGCTACTAGATTGGCATCTAGATCCCACCACACTACTGTTGAAATACCTAAATGCCCCTTCTACTCCAACAGTTTCTTTTCTCACACTTCCCATCTGAGGGACCCACTTCTGTTTACTTGCTTCTCTGATAATTGCAAACTACAAAAATTTAAATGCAACATCAATCGCCATATTCTGTCTTCCTGAATCCCGTTCATCTTTTGGCCTTTCCTCACTCCTCCCTATTTTCAGTTTTCTCTTTCACTTTCCCTCCCTGTAACATACTGTATACTAGTGGCAAACCTGCCTTGCTTGAGTTGAAATGATTAAAAAGAAAAAGAAAAATTTCACATAAAATTACTTAAACTAGTGTTTGCTAGTTTTTTTTTGTGACTTAGAAATTGAACAAGAAAATTTAAGCCTTTCTGGGTGGAAAACTTCACAATTTCCTATTTAGTTTTATACAATCAGTCAGTTCATTATGTGGCATGCATGATCTTTGATCTTTTGAAACATGACTGACGAAACATATTTTTTTCTGTAGTAGGTTGCCATTTCTTTCTGCAGTAGATCAGTTACCATCCAAGGCTATAGAACCCAGTCTGTCCTGGGTGAAGAAGAGGGTTCATACCTTTCCCAAGGGTATTAGCACGTTATGTATTTGACTGGAATTTAAGCGCTGCTCTCCAATTCCTCAATTCAAGCTGCTATCCACTGTGCCTCCTAATACAATTTATATATTTCATATCGATTAAAGAAAAGGAAGATCATAACTTCATTTAAACATATCACATACATATTACAGTGCATCAATCATTTCAAAGCATCAGTAACTAGATGCACAGTGAAGTAATGGATAGTGGCTTGGATTGAGAAATCAGAGAACCGAGTTTGAATTCCAATTGAATCCATTACATTCATTTATGTGCTAATACCCTTGGGAAAGGTATGAATCCACTTCTTCTCTCTCCAGCTATGGACAAATAGCAGGACAGACCAGATTCTATAGCTTTGGATAGCAACTGGTCTACTGCAGAAAGAAATGGCAACCAACTGCAGGAAAAAATCTGCCAGGTCAGTCATGTATCGAAAGATACGATTGCCCAAGTATGTATCATGCATGGCACATAACTGACTGAATCTAACTGTCATTGCACACACATATTAAATAAGAACAGTCTGGAATTGTCAGGAATTTTCTTATATTTATTGATGCTTTGTTATTCACTATTATTTTCTTCTGACAGAGTCTCAGTGATGCTTTATGTTCTGAAATTGTGATGTAAATATATTTCCAATACTTAATATTTTCTTCTTATAATAACTGTCCCTTAGGTCATGTCTATGAGTTTAGAAACAACTAACCTACCTTTGAGTTTCAAATAAAAGGTCCAGCATGATTATTCTCTTTTG